CCCCAAAACCCCAAAACCCCAAAACCCCAAAACCCCAAAACCCCAAAACCCCAGGAGATGTCCACACTATAGAATTCCTTGATTTAAAAATGGAGGACTTGCCTTCTATAAACGGACCTGAACCAAAATTTAGAAACTGTGTTGTTAGGCAAAAAACCTTAATAAGCCAAGCAGAGGCACCAGTCATGAAAGCTAGAGCCTTAATCCTTCATGCGCTTGGGAGGGGAGGGAGAAAGCGTGGTTGTAGAGTAGTTACTAGCGTTAGATTCCAAATTCGATAAGGAATGTAACATCTCGTTCATCTGGCTAGCTTTGAATAAAGAGAATTTAAACGAATCACTCTCTGAATCTTGCATCCCTCTTGAAGAGAACAACTTGGTCCTCTTCCTCTGCTTCTTTATTTTCTTTCTTTTAAGAGATTTTCAGGATTTTTGGACTCCAGTGCTCAAAAGTTCGGAATCTTCCAGCTTTCCGAAATAGCTGCCCTTCTTAAGAGAGTAAGCTTTCAAGAAGGATTTGGCAATTCCTAGTTTTTGAGGAGGCTGGGCAAACATTTGTTTGTCGTTTGAATGGTTGCTTTTGCATTGAGCATTCTGGCTAATTTCAGTAAATGAAGGGCACTTGTTTAAGCTTAGTTTCAATCCAGATCAATCGTTTTTCTGTTTGTGACTGGATCGTAAAGATTTTCTATCAGAATTACTCGATTAAGCATACCATTTCTTGATAGGGGGGTCTAATGTATCTTCGTTACTCTTGCAAGTTGGCTTCTTTTGAAAATTTGGCCTACATATGTGTTAAACATTTGAAACAATTCATCAGGTAGGAAATATTTTAAGACAAATAAAAGTTAGGTAATGGTGTAGGGAAAACTTCACCAGTTTCTAATCCTCATTGATTTTCTCTATTACCTATGGAGATCTTCTTCGGCTATTTTATCACAATCACTATTTTGTCGTTTACTTTTCTTCGCCTTTTTCTTCTTCTTCCTTCTTTTAGAGGTAATAGAGACATTAGAATCTGAATTAGATTTTGCATCGAGCATATCTGCAAGGTCAGTCAATCTCTTAGTTATTTCAACAATATTCTTCTTGCTCTTCTTTGATTCGATCTTGACTATTTTCAGGGCCTTAGGGTGAGGGTTGGGTTTATCAGGCCCATTAAGCTCCTTCACACTGATCATTACAGACTATATTAAGTTATAACATGTTTTGGTGATGATTCATGAAGTTTGAAAATAATATAACAACTTATGGATGCTAAGCTTGAAGCTCATACCTTTGAGCGTAAATTGCATAGACTGTTCCCTAAAGCTTGGAGTATATTCATGCCCTCCTCCATTTGAGGTGTCAGTATGGAAGCTCTTTGATCCTTATGTGCATGCTCTGCTGAACTCTCTTTTGTATAAGTTATAGTATTGATATCTACATATGATTATGCTAAAAGTACTCTTCAACTGTATCCTAGTGGGATCTTGTGAAGTAGCTCTCTTAGTAGGCTTCTTTTCTATTTTAATGTTAGAAGAGAAATTAGATTCCTTACTTATAATTTCGTGAATGTTTTGAAAAGAAAATCTTTTGCAATCTGCAAGTTTAGGAATAGCCTTCCTCTTTCTTTTGATATCAGGCCTTTGGTTCCTCTCTTGATTAGAAATGAAGTTTTGGATGAGTTCCTCTTGAATTTTGGTATCTGATGTGAACTCTTTCATTACAGATGTCATTTTATCCTTATCATCTGTATTTAAAGTTATGAGTTTAAACTTAATTTTCTTGATGTGAGTACCGAGGATAACTTGGAATTCGAAATTATTCATGGCAAGCTTATGAAAGCACAAAGTTGACTAAGGTAAAGCATGTATATTAAATCGGACAGAACGAATGAGAAGGTTAGTATTAATGCAATTTGGAAACGTTAAATCTTAAAAAGAGCTCTATTTCAAGAAAATAAGATGTATCAGACTAAGACATATTTGTGATATACTAGAGACCAGTCTTTCGAACTTACAAGGTTCCTGAGCAAGTAGATATCTCCGTGTATCACTTATCCTTTGTCTCATATTTATTTCTTATTAATTTTAATAAGCTGATGTTGTAACTAAATCGCTCTTTGGGTTTAGTTGGGGTTTTGGGGTTTTGGGGTTTTGGGGTTTTGGGG